GAAAATCCATGTCAGGGACACTTTGAGCTATTTCAGGTTTTACAAACTACTTTAAAATCGAAAGGCTCCTCTGCTCGGCTAAATAGTTAATTTTTTCTTGTGCTTTGACTGGTTTGTTTCCTTGATTGAAAAACTCATCCAGCTGTTTCGCATTAACATTAGTGACACATGCATGATTACAGGAGACTAACCAATCAGCACACAGCAAGAGCTCAGTGCTTAAGTGAAATCCCGGTCCTTTTAATTGAAATGGTACTTCACAGATCCTGTCTTATTTCAAAGTGTCCTCCCTGTCATGGATTATCTGGTCACCCTATCACTATTGAAAGAGTAGTGCCAAGTAAGTCTTGTGTCAGTAGTTATTGGTACTACAACGTCTTTTTGTTTCAGTGCCTTAGAATATATATCTATTCGCGACGTTGCTATGTACGCTCACCGGGGTGGCTCTACGGGTATGCACTGTATCACTAGGGTGGCTCTACGGGTATGCACTGTATCACTAGGGTGGCTCTACGGGTATGCACTGTATCACTAGGGTGGCTCTACGGGTATGCACTATATCACTAGGGTGGCTCTACGGGTATGCACTGTATTTAAACCCCTCATCAGAAGAACCCCTCATCAGTGGCTAGCAATGTAAATGGCAGGTACACAGCAGTTTAACCCAAGTCCAGTTCTTACTTTGTTTGTGACCTTACTTGAGTTTGCTGTTGGGATCGAGCCATCGGTCCATATTTTGTTTGGTTACTTGTGGTTAAGGTTAGCGCTGGGTAGAGGTTAAGGTCGTCATGCTGGGATTAGAATTTTACCTAATGAAATGAATGGAGAGTCCCCACAAAGATATAATTACAAACCTGTGTGTGTGTGTATTTACAGAGGTGGAATGTTCAGATTTAGAAGGTACAAATCCAGACCAAGATTTTATTTCTGGTTGGTTGAAACAATTAAAATCATGGTTTGGATTTGTACTTTCTGAACCTGACCTTTCCACCTCTGTGTGTTTGTGCATTGGGGGTGTCCATAGGACAGCAAGCAAGCAAGCAATAAAAGAGCATGAGTTTCTCAACAACATTATCTAACTACCTTTGGTGAGAAAATAATCAATCCTTAAGGAAACCCCATTACCCCTTAATGAAAATTAATGAAATGAGTAAGGCAATGTGAATAACAATGCAGAAGGTGCCCAATTTCTGCATCTAGAATGAAAAAGACCATTTCAAGAGCTCCAGAGATGGAGTGTAACAAGCATACCTACTATTATTAGCAAATTTACTTTAATGAGGTTGGGGCTACAGCCAATACCAACTCTGAAAAAATATCCTATTTAAACAAAGTGAAGGAAAAACTGCAAGTAATGATTGAACTACTGAAAAATTGATTTAATTTAAATGTGGGTTCTCACTTAGAGTGTGAAAGGTCCCAGGTTCAACTCTGGGGTGTGGACCTGCAGGTTAGGGTTGTGATTGGAAGGTCGCCGGTTCAAAAACTGATGTCACTATTGAGCAAGACCCTTAACCCCAATTGCTCCAGGGACGCTGCACCATGGCCGGCCCTGTGCTGTGACCCCAAGACTTGCTCTCACCTGTATATGTGTCTGTGTGTCTCACGGAGAAAAAGATGGAACATGCAAAGACTACCCAATTTCCAAAACAGGATGAATAAAGAATCACTATTCAATTATTCCATGTTTGGTGACTCCAGGAGAAAACTGCAAAACAGGCAATATTTCTAAGACAAGCAGAAATTGCCAGCAATGTCTAAAACACAAATCCAAATGTGTTTCGGAATGTTTATTTAACAGGGTAATGGAACAAAGATATTTTGCTGCATGACAGAATGGTTCTTGCTCCACATTTTGTAGCGCTGTCCCGTGCGGTGGCTCTATGCCTGCACCCACACTCCGTCTCAATAGCACATTCAAATCAGCTACCATTATAAATAAGCATGTAAAATACTGCATGAAAGACAGCTGTGCAATTACGGGTTGGAGGTGTTAAAAGCGAACAACATGCCGATTGGATGTGTGTAGAGTCAGTTACACATATAACTTTACTGAATGCAATAATTACAATGCATAAGGTTTCTCCTAAATGTAACAGACTAAGAAAGCATTGCAAGAGGCAAAAAATTTAAGAGAGACATAATCACCTGGTAAGAATAACAGCAGGAGTTTGAATATTTGCTTTTTTGTGCTTTAATTAATTGATCTGCATGTATAAGCTCTGTGCTGGCTTATGTGATTATGAAAATACAGCAACAAAGATCTCCTCCACGCTCTTGAGACATTAATTATTGGTGGACATTGGTTGCTGTGAAGTGCTAAAAATTAAATTACTATACAGTAAATACAGGTCATTTTTATGCTTCAGTCAATTTTTGGTTAACTGTTGCCTGATGGTGAGAAATCCCAATCAATCTCCTTTATTCTGTGTTCTGCATTAACTATTATTTTTTTTCCCCATTGACTATACACAGGGATTGACATAACTGGTATGCAAGTACGCATTCACCTATGAAAGAGATACGTGAGGAAATCGATTGTTGTAACAGCGTGAATCCGTATGTATTTTATGTGCATTTGCGCTGATATGACAAGAAATTTCCGTGCATTTTAACCTCTATACCGCAAATGAAGTACAAATTAGCATATAAAGGTTATCAAGGTTAATACCAACAGGACCATGATATCTTAATACTGAGTAAAAGAATTAGTAGCAGGACTGCTTGGACTTTGGTTTGTGCGTTCTAGAAGGGTCCCTTTACTAAGGTATCTCACTTGTATAGTTCTAGTGAAAAACATATTGATATATTCTTGTTCCAAATGCCAGCCAAACATTGTGATAGCTGCACAACTGGAGAACGGGTAACCACACTTAATTTACACAGTTAATCTGTGAGAAATTCATTTCATGGTTGTTACACAGAACCGTGACCCACATAAAAAAGAAAAACTGAATTTTATTTTCTGATTGTTGCAATATAATCGGAGTTGTGGTTAAGCTCAGTACATTTGTCAAAGAGTGGATGGTTACGGCAGGGTTTGCACTTGTGGGCGGCTAACGCATCCCTGGCATCGACACGTGTCCCGTAATAGCTGCACCTCCCTGCAACACCTCCTCAGCAACCCCCACACGCTTCAATAACACACCCCACAGCACAGCTCTAATCAACATGATGCACGTGCTCTCTCATTCTTTTCAATAGATGGAAACCTTGAAGTCTCTGATTTTGATTTGATTTTTTTAAATTTAAATATTAACACTGCCTGTTATTGAAAAATTGATAGAGGAAAACATTGCACTGTAGTTGAAATCAGTTTTCGAGTCTGACTGAAAATACTTAAATTCCTTTGACTTAAATTCCTTTGGTTCCCTTGTCGTGACACCAACTTAAAATCTAAATGGTAAATAGTTACATACCAATCCCATGTTAATTCATCATTAATGAATTGATATGCACGTTTTTATCTCAAGCAGTTACTATATTTGTTACTATGTCTATTAATTCTGTAAACCTTTGTGAACTACTAAAGGAACAACTAAAGGAAGTCAGGAATAACACAAGTGAAATACTGTTCTCATGTTCATCATTAATCAATCATGATGCATCTTCTATCTTAAGTAGTGCCTATATTTGTCCATGATTCGTTCATGATTTGTACTTCAATAGTAACTGAGTTATTACTAAGTATTTGTGCCCCGTCAAGTAAAGTTACCATTTCATCTTTAGCCTGTGACCCTAGTCAGGAAAAGTGGTTAGGGGATGAATAGATGGATGGATGTTTTACATTTATATTGTTTTTAAGAGTACATCTAAAACTGGACATTTTTGGTATTTTGACTTATTAATCTGCTTTTTAAAGGACACATCACACTGAGTAGGCCTGCCCTCTACATGGATGAACTTCCCAACTCAGCAGCCATCAAATTCATAAACCAAAGGGAGCTGAATTAATGTAAGAGCCTGTGAGAGGGAGCACCATCTGTAATGGGCCACCGGGGAGGCTGTTCACTGGATGAGGAGAGAAATAACCTGCCCTGTGTGTGGAATGTCCTGTGGGTCTGTGGGGAATCCGCTCCAATTAAGCCGAGTCGCGGAGTGGGAGTGGGTCGTGAGCTTGGGAGCGGTACAGCAATGCGCTGCCTGAATATGAGGAGGAGAGCCCATATATTGCCGTGCATCTGTCGATGTCACAGTGGGCCACTGCAATCTCTTTCAATGTATAACCAAAGGCCTGCTGATTGGCAGGAAGGCGTCCAGCTGGGAAAGCATGGGAAGCTAAAGAAGAGATCAACCTGAGATTTTCTGCAGCATTGTGGTGGGTGTATTAGCTCTGCAGATGTTGTTTCTTTGTGAATTCTCCTCCCAGACTTCGTATGTTCTGTGTTTGATAAGGCTTGACGCTTTCCCAGGAATAAAGAAAACAGCCATCTAGCAAAACGAGGTAATGGCCACACCTGTATAAAGTCTGACAGCACTTCGAGAATAAAAGCATGGGTTCAAACTCTGTATTCCGTTGTTAAAAGCATGGGAAGCGTATCCAAGGTCCTTTGTGTCCACGATCTGCACTGCAAATGTGTTTCTTTCCCTCTGCTCATCTTAAAGTCTCTGCCTCCTCTGAACTGCACTGCACTCCAGTTGCAGCGCGCACTTTTGTTCCTCTGTTGTGAAATCCCGTTAAAGGCTTTCCGACACAATCATACCGCCGGCCAGGAAAGACGCCGTTACGCGGGGCTTTTTGTGGCCTGTTTATCTGCGGCCTTTACCTATGCCTGACGGCGTCCTGAAACACACATCAAGGGCTGCTTTTTGCCTCGCTGCCCCACAGGCTGCCCATTACTTCGAGGAGCAGCGTAGATGGGGCTGGGGGTATTCTCAAGGTATATGTTGACACACCCCTAGGGCCACTCCAGGATTTGCTGGGCATTCTGTACATTCAAAGAAAACATTTTTCTGCACACTCAGACAAAATATTGTCAAACATGGTCATGACACGGCACCTGAAACTGACGTCCAGTCTTTCCGTAACCATCTCCTCCACTCAGCGTCACAGTGAAATGGAGGCAGAGGCTGTGAGACAGGACATGATAACAATTTGATCAGCTGACTGGCAGGAAACAAACAGTATATTCACTTAAAACAGAATAAACACATATGTGAAATGCATTTGAACATATAATATCAAGAACAGTAGTGGGAACAATAAGGCTGATGGGACATGGCTCATTGGGTTATGACACTGTATCTGTGATTAGGAGGTTGGTGGTTGAGCGATTCCACTCTCTAATGGCTAACTATGCTTTCTCAAAAGAAATGTATGCTGCTTTGGATAAAAGCATCAATAAAAGCCAAACAAAATAATAATGATCTAACATGTGGTGCAATTCAATGTTCCAGAATATTCAGATTTCTACGTTTAGTATTCATGGTGTGACTGACAAAAATTTTGGATGCTTCCCATCATGCATTGTGCTGTATAGGCAGATGGTTGATGCAGAGGCAGGTTAGCAACAATTTATCCAACAATGTATGTCCTATCACATAATCCCTGGCCACAATGGTGTGGAGGCATGTTCAGAATATCGGAATAGATATTTTTAAACAACATTACACAATGTTATTGCGTGTCAATGAATTTCAAATCAATATCAAGGCAAATTCCATTTTTTTTTCATATAATTTATAGTTTTGAGACTAAATTCAAAAGAAACTCATTTCAGCTTTACAGTACCAATGCCATTGTGTATTACCCTGAAGCAAAATAAAATATTTCAACTATGTACAATGGGTAATAAAGTACTGCATAAGTTTTATGATTATTAAGAGAAGCAGTAAACAAATTGATGTGTACTCCATAAAGGTACTGAGCAGACATGGCTTTGAACAAAGTGACTCATTGTATCTTTCTTTTTTTATTCCAAATGTCAAGCCTTGAGCCAAAGCTGTAAAGGTTATTTATCAGCTAATAAAATCAATGAGCCACTCAAGAGCAGGAGCAAAGACGCAGCTACAAACTGTACTGCTGTTAACAAACTCGACATGACACACATAACCCAGACGTTCCGCCCTCCCGGAAGTTACGGGAGTCTCCTGCAAACTGACAGCAGCTTCATAATATCCACCAGTGATGAGCAGTATCCTGGAAATCTGTTGCTCTGCTATTCAGCCATGGTAAAAATGAGTTGGCAAGAAGCTTTACCACTGCATCCCCAGACCAACCTAGCCGGCAAATTTTACAGACAAACTCGAGTTCCACCCCCAGGCAGCACAGGACTTGGGTGGTGTCTAATTTTAATACTGTCCAGACATTATTTCACGGTATACAGTACTTTGACTGTATTTCATAAAGCAATGCTATTCTGGTATCTCCCAATAAAATTTCCTGAGCAGGTGGTGGTGGGGGGGTTGGTATTACTGGAATACTACCCAAGCCCAGCCAGCACCCCTTTTCATGAACGTCCCTCCTCCGAATCCCTGACAACAATTTGCCTAAGGGGGGTTGTCTGTAGAACTTGATACATATAATTGACACATGATTGACACATATGACCAACAAGCTGAAGCAAGCAAGTAATGAAAATACCAGCATTCACAAAATGTAAAACGATGCCACAACCACATTCCACTAAAATCCTCACTAAAATTTGCAAAATCACTAAGATTGCTGGATACCTACAGCACTTTCTGTGATAACACTACCCATGATAACACTACCTGTGATAACATTATTCATAATAACACTACCAGTGATAACACTACCTGTGATAATCCAATAGCTGAATTGTCCATCTGTCCATCTTTTACATTCTTGTCGAGTATGGGAAGCTCATTTAAAATTTCCTTGCAAGAAATGGGTTTGTCCAATTGCATGCGGAGATCTGTCTAGCCTAGCAATCTTATAACTACAAATACCACAAACCATAAGTTGAAATGATATAATTTCAGAAGTATTAAAAGCCTCCGTGTATTACAAATCCATCACCAGCTAAGTGTGGTACAAAGTGACATGAGAGTGATCTGTTTAGAACACGCAGAGAGATGGACTAGAAATGATTGCTCACGTTCTGTTAATCTCATACGTCTGAAAGGCAAGAGAATCGATTGAAACTTTGTTGCAAAGGTATTAAATATGCAGAATCGAGCACTGGTTGGTTTTCTCCGCCAGTGCAGGTGGACAAATGGTAGACTTCATAAACCTTGTATATATAGAGGGTTCCATTGATCAATTCCAATCACTTTGTTTAAAGCCCCGGTATATTATCGGCACAGAACGTCTCCTCAGACGGTGTATCAGCAACATCATTCTTGACTGACTGTTCTAACTGCCTCCCTGTCCATCAGAAGGCTCTGCTCTGTTCTGCTTTCTTTGCTCTGTATCCAGACTGACATCCACATGCTACAGCTCTCAGTCATGGTTAACAGCCACCTTCCTTCCCAACCTTTGACATCCCCCAACCTGAGTGCCATTCCACAAAACAGCAGCAGGGCAATGCAGGCTAGAATAAGGTGTGCTGGGGGTTTCAGCTAATCACCAAATCCAAGACCAGGGGGATATTACAGCTGCCTGCCTGAAATCAGAAGTAATGTGTCCATCCACCTGTGAAATGAAAAGCATGGAAGTGTGTGTGTGTGTGTGTGTGTGTAACTGGAGCCAAGCTTCCAGTGACCATGAGCAAAAAATATACAGATGGACACACATAAGTGAGCATCTGCATACACACACATGACTTCTACTCATATTTATTCATAATACGGAACATTCAATAATTATATTAAATAAAGAAATGTTAATGACTCACGTCTTCTTTTCAGATCACTCATCTTTTTGTATCAACAACCAGAATTTATATTTAGTTTTTATTTTCATATGATGAAAAAATATAAAACTTGTTAATCTAAATCCCCAATCCCCTCCCTGCCCTTCATATCAAAAAAAGTGCCTGAAGACAAATAACAATTAAACAGCTTAACTAATAAACAGAATCACACAATACCTCGTCGCGCCAATATGAAAGTACGGAAAAGAAATATGAAACTGAGTTATCTATTAAAAATGTGAGACGACTATAAATGAAAGCGAAGGGCCTTGAGTAGCAAAAAGACATTTCTTTCGTTCTGCTAAAAATTGCTAATTGGATTTCCTCTGACATGCTTCATCATCTGTAAAGCAACACAACATTTAGGTAAGAGGTTTTTTTTTTTTAACATTTTTGAATGCAGATTTGTGATTAGATGCAAGCTGATGGTGAGACTCTTAAGAAATGTGTGTCAGTAGTTTCTTTCTGCTTCAGAATTGCCTCTAACATTTAAAAAATGCAGATCCCTGAACTAGATAGTCGTATAAAATAGAAAGTCACAGACTGCGCACAATGGGGAAGAAGAGCTGAAAGCCAGAATTACAAATATTCAGCTTTTGGCCCCCAAGACAAAATTATTCATCGTGCATTTCATTTCATGGGCATAAATCAGACTATCAATTTGCGCAAGACAAACACTGGAGGAGCGAATCCAGACATCCACCCATCCATCCTGTATCCTGGACAGTGTGACTGGGGCCCTGGAGCCACGCCCCAGCAAGCACGGTGCACGACGCTGCATATCGGTGAAACCAAAAATGAGCCCATTCATTAATAAATATTAATTTCTTCATATATTAATCACCTAGCCAGCAACCAGACCTTAGTTGGCTTTGCTGAGTATTTAATGAGTTAAAACAAATAGGAAGTGGATTGAAGAGTCATGAAGTAAATAATGGCAGATATTTTTCACTCTAATGCTCTCTTGGCGTTGGTCTTTTGCAGAGCTGACGATTGATTAGTACTAGTTGCAAACAGGTGTTAAATATGGCCTGCCCCTCCTCACCGCCTCATTTGCATTTAGCACTATAGAAAACAGATCCATAAAGTATTTCTGATGTGCTTAGTGCATGGTTCTGGATCAGGTTCCCCTTTCTCAAACCTACAATTCATGTTCCAGTTTGCATTCGGGACACTCTGTGGGTACTTGATTCTGTGAGGTAGTTTTATTTGGTTCATGGGTCCTATTCTGTGTGTCCCACAAAGCAGGGGGGTGTTCCAACGAAGCAGGATTTCTTGGTTGGCTTGGTTTAACTTAGATTGAAGTCATGATTGTCCAATAGAAATGCTCCTTACCTAACCTCTTATTGGATAATTATGAATTCTAGCTTAAGTTAAACCCAGCTAACCAAGAAATCCTGCTTTGTGGAACACCCCCCAGGATTTCACAGTTAGCTGGGTTAACTTAAGCTGGAAGTCATGATTGTCCAATAGGAAAGTGCCTTACTTAAACTGGTATTGAGTGATCATTACTTTTAGCTTAAGGTAACCCAGCCACTTGATCAGAAATCTTGCTTTGTGGAATACCACTCAGATAGCCGGGTCAGTTTGGAGTAATCCAGCATCCCAGGTGCACCCCATCTGAACTCTTTGTGTTTCTTAACTTTCTGCATGTGTATAAATGCATAATTTTCACAATTACAAATTGCGGAATGCAGAAGTCGTCACGGAGCAGGATGTTCTTCTGTATAGACCGCCACCTGGCAATGTGCAATCATTTTCTAAAAATTATTTAGAAATAATCAAATATATAATTTGTATTATTTTGGTTTGCTTAATAAATGCTGACGTACGGGGTCAGCAGAAGTGTATATTTTCATATAACATCAGTAGGTGGAGTTACACGTATGTAACAGCCGTGAAACAAATTCAGCTGGCAAGCCAAGTAAATGATTAACCCATGAAATAAATGACTACATTCCATTAGCTGTAAAATGTAACAAAATTTACATTTGGTGATGTTTTTTTTACACCATTATCTTGATCTTGTGTAACATTATAATTTCATGCAACTGCATATCCAGTACAGGATCATGGAGAATCTGTCATGGAGTCAATCACAGGAAGTACACAGCTCAAGGCCAGGGCCACACTGGACAGGGTGATTGGCCAATTTGGAGACATTAGCCTGCCTAACCCATGTTTTTGAATTGTAAAAGAAAGCTGGACTTATTCTGGCATTAGGGTTAGAGTTTGTGATTTTGCTCAAGCATC